AAAAAAAAAGACAACGCGGCATGACGTGCGACGCGCGATCGAAGGGAAAAAAAAAAAAAGGGTGCTACAACCGCCCTTTTCAAACTCGGGGCCTGATGTTACCGCCTTCTGATGTTATGACTGCCTTTTCGAACTGCGTGCCCATTAGTGTTTTTTTTGCCTTTACAGTTTGAAAGTGTGCTACTACCGCACTTGTTTCTTTTTTTTGTTGTTGTTGAAACAAATGCTCCAGTCTATTCGTGGGGAGCAGCACGTGCTGGGAACCGGGCCCAGCGTCCCATGCAGCTTGTACTATCGACTCCATGTTTTCTTTTTTTTTTGTAAGTTCTTTTATTTAACCCATCATTATTTTTATTACAATGCTGGTAACTGGGCCCAGCGTCCCTTATCTTCTAAATTTCCCTGACCACACGAGCTACCAGGTAGTGTGGATTCCGTACGTCTGGGCCTAAACCCTCCTCTGTGCACGCACAGATTCGAACCGGCGACCTCGGCCTCAAGAGCCAAGTCTCTTAACCACTACAGCCAGGACACGGTGTTCGAAAGTGGAATCGTACCGGTCGTGATATCCACCCCACCCCTGCAAGGCTGTAGTGTCCAACTCAACACACACCACACACAACACCCACGGACACGGCAATTCTCGTACACTTCGCTCTGTAGTCAGCACGTAACCCCCGCTGGTACTCTACCAGGGACATCAGCCCCGCACAAACCTTGGCCACTGTCGTGCTCCCTTCATCCTGCCATCTGTTATACTTACGACAGTACGACTTCATGTGGTCGGTGTGTGTTTGTCCCTTTTTGTTTTTAGGGTCTGATCACACCTCGTTTCCTTTTCGAAAGAATGAGGTAAAAGTGTCGTGAAAGGTGAAGGCACAGTGCATGGAACGTAAAAGAAAAATGCGACCCCACATGCCCTACTTCTGCGGTACTTTTCCTAACTGAGCGGTGCTATCTTGTGGCACCTCCAGGATCCAACGGCCTGCTCATCAGAAAGGAAAAAAAAAGGGGAAAGGAAAACACAAGGGCACCTTCTTTCACGGTGCACTTCTTCGAAAAAAACAGGGCTACCTCCGTACCTCCGGCTCTGGCGGAAAGAAGTGGGATCCCAATTTTTACCTTAAACTGGATCAGACTCTTATTTTTGTAAGGTTCCTCCCTTTACTGTAGGGGGCTTTGCTCTCTTTTTATGGTTGGGGGGGTTGCCCTGGGGTTCTACTACCCTCTACAGAGGGCAGCTGTTTGTGGTGCAGTGTAACCCCGGTATATAGTCTACCCGGTTGGTGTCCATGTACAATAAGATTACAGTAGACAGTGAATAGTTAGGTTTCACTACACCCTTAAACTACCAGTACTTGGCCCAGCTATAGGCCGTGGAAAAGAAAAATAGAGTAGAAACATTTCTGGTCGGATGAATTTGGGCGCTCCTGTAGTGGCCCGTACGTTTCCTAAAATTGTGGCTTGTTAACGGGCACGACTTCAGGAAGTAGATGTGTTTTAAAAGTGGATTGGTTGAAGGTTTTTGCACGCTATGGCTGGATTGCTTTGGATGGTGCGACCTGAGTCTGCTCCCGGTCAATGTTGCCGGGACCGTTCCTGGGGCCGCATTGGTTGTTGTATGGGACACTGGGCCCGATTCCCAGCATTGTAATTACTAATTACGTGGTTTCCTCAGAAGCAGAAGAAGAAAAAACTTGAAAAAAGGTGTTTGATTTGCAATTCTGCATGAAGTAGTTTTTAAAATTCTTTTCAGTTCTTTTTTCTTTTTCTTTTCTTTTTTTGGGCTGTCCAGGACCCTGACTTGGACTTTGCCCGGACCTGGCCCGGCCGGGCCACCTGGGCCTGTCTGACGGAACCCGGGCAGCGCGGCCGGTAGCCCAGGTGGTAAACGTTACAATACGTAGTGAAGAGATTCTAGATTAGTGATAAGAGATTGTGTTTTTGGAATTGAATTCTTACCTTCTTATCCATGATTTATTTATGATATTTTTTACTTTTTTTCTTTTTTACCACCCCAACCTTTCACATACATCGGCTGCAGGCGAGGCGAGAAGCGGGCCCAGCATCCCTTATTACAATTGTTCTACGTTGCGACTTGTACTCACCCTCGTACGAGTACGAGTTGTACTCCTTACTCGTACTACTCGTACACTACTCATACACTACTCATACGCTAGGGCCCGTACGACTTTTTTTTTTTTTTTTTTCCCCTCAAATTATAATAAGAATATGCAGATGATGCTCAGCCAAATGTTGCTTGTTTTGTGATGCTACAGCACATGTTTGTTTCTCGGATTTTTTTAACGACTTTTTTTTTTTTCTTCGTACAGGGGCGTACAAGACGTACAGGTTCCCGTACAGATATTACCTGTACGTTTCGTACGGAACGTACGGGGGAGTGGCTGTACAGCCTGACCATAGGCCAGTACTGATATGCATACTGGGATGCCTAACATTGTTGTCCGCCCTTCCCCACTTCATCGTACTCATTGAAACTGGTTTGACTTTGTTTTTCGATCATGGAGTCACTCAGCTTCTAAACCTCCTAAACCTCGCTGGGGCTGCCTGGAACCCTGCCCGGGGGTTATGCCCGGCCGGGCAACCGGGCGTGCATCCAGGCAGAATGTTACATTCCCAGTTGGGCGATGTACATACATAACCGAGGATCCGCAATGTGATAAAAAGGACTGAATGGACAATGCAGTGCAAGTAGAATCTCAACAAGCAATGTACATTCTGATACATACAAAGATGGTGCTGAACAGCGCAGGGAAGACTTAGATACAAGTCCTGACCTGACCGGGACTGACCTCTATCACGCAGTGCCAGACAGCGCAGCAGAATGCTAGAATACCAATGACTAGCCCAATCAATGTTGCAACGCAGACTAAACATAGATCATGCTCATCACAAGGTGTGAAGGGGCCTGGCGCTATACACAGGAAGGAGGCGCCAGGTCCAGACATACACAGACGAGGAGGGGATCAGACGAAGAAGAGGAAGGGGGAGATGGGAAAGTCGTCAACACCGAGTCTCGTTACCAGTCCCAAATAATCCCTCTTCAAAATG